AAAATGAAAAACCGCTTTTCTAGTTACTTTATTGTCTGATGAAAGGATATAAAACATTATTTTACATAAACTCATTTACTGTAAATAGTTCAAATTAATATATTTACATTATATTTTATATATAAAAAAAATATTTTTAAAAATTATGAACTCTTAAGAGACTATATATGTTGAAACTATAGTAGTATTCATACCGTGATTGTACATCTTTAGTTACCGCCTCCTTAATCTCTTGCACTAATTTAGTCGCGTAATTTGCCGCGTGATTAGAAACGGCGGATATGACGTCCTCGACCGTCATGGTTTTTGTTAAATAATCGAAATGCAAACTGCAGAGTTCTCTATAAGAGTTCATACCAAGAGTGAGTTCAGCGACACCAACTCTTTCTTCTATATATGTTGGATCCATTATGGTGTTGCCACTGAAATTTAGAAAGACCATATATTATTTGTATGTACATAGTCTCTTAGAAAATTCTGAATTTTATTGATATATTCTTAAACAAGATTAAAATTAATTATTTTATATTCATAAAAATTTGAAGCGTAGATAATTTTGAACTGCCTGACTAACCATTCAAAAGTTATGAAAGATATGCAAACTGGATAGTGAAACAATGTTAATGGAAGAAAATCTTTCTCGGATGCTGGATGTATAATAATTTCCTCGCCAGTGGAAGTAACGTCTGGCCTGTGGAAATGCATGAGAGCGGCGAGTGTCGCTATAGAGGCACAGTCGATCAGATTTCCATCGTGATTTATGATATTAATATCAATTCTTAAATTCCACACCTGAATAGAAAGACATAAAAATAAAATATATATATGTATATATATATAAACATATGCTGTACAATATTTAATGTCAAATCTTAGTATGCAGTAACCTTCTTATCTGCTACAATACAGAGAGATTCCAAGTCTATGCATTTTGAATCTTTGAAACATTTTTCCAGCTGTCTACTGATCAATATGCCAGCCTCGGATTGTCTTCCACTTTCAAGGTGCTGCGCCGCTAATGGACCAAGCTCAACATTTATGTATATTGTGCCTTCGTTAGAACGAAATGCTTTCGGTTGTTGTATATTACATGATACTTGTGCTATTGCTCTGCAAAGGGATTCCTCTTCAATGTTTTAATTATATATATTTATTATAAAGAGAAATAATCCATATATTGTTAAAGAAAATTTACTTGGTATGTCCAAGAGACACTATACAACATCCCCATTTGGAGCCAAAATGAATTTTCACTGGCCGTGGCTGTAATAATTTTCGGCCATCTAATCTCTGCGAAATATAATATTAAATATGTTCTAAAACAATTTTTCTATATTTGTAAATTATAATAAAACATATATATTCATATATAAATATATAGTTTCTAATTAATTAAAACTGTTCAGTAAATACAAAATAAAAATATTAAGTATGTATACCGTTTCCTCTTCTATACATTTGTTTACGAAATTTCGTTCACAATTTGTGAGTAAAACTTCCCTCATTTTCTCAAATATAAATATCCAAATTTTCACAATATTACACAAGAAGAACAATTTATTATTCGCGATTTGTTTATGATGACATATAATAACCTATAATCACATCGTGTTCGGATATATATATGTTTTTAAATATATATATTTACATCATGGAAGACACTATGGTAAAACAGGCTCTAGTTCCTTTTGTTCTGATTGGTTAATCCCAAAATATAAATATATATAAAGCACCAATCAAAACTCATGCCGCTGTCCTAATTCTTACTTGAGTGATTTTAGTTTATGGCAGTATGTTAAATTTAAAGAATTTTTGTTCAGTTCATCGACGCGGACAGGGGGAAATAGCCGACAGAAATTGACAGAAATTTCGCCCGTGTATGTACGCGAAATGACTGATAACCCTTTCTCGAAGAAGAATATTCAGAGAACTGATTCGCGAGTATCGTGCCAAGAGAACGGGAATCACCGAGTGACAAGTCTCGTCGGTGACAACTCGCGCGGAGGTTAGATTGACATTCTTGAGGTTAGAAATGGCCGCAACGCGCGGCCGAAGGGTAACGTGTACTTTAACTTTAGACTGATTGCGAGACTTTCGCGACTGCTCTCATTCATTTCGATAACGATTGGATACATATATATATATATATATATAAGGTGGAGAGGCGACGAAGAGACATGTACAAATTTAAACCATTCGTGTTCATGGAGCACGCGGCGAACGGGCCGGAACGTCCGAAGGCGCGTAGCGGTCATCGAATCGCGTGCGATTATCGAAATCTGTACTCTTACGGCGGCTTCAATCCTTGCATATCCGATACCGACCCGGACATGCTCGACGATCAAACGTGGGTGGCCAGTAAGCCGCTGTTCAAAGAACTGTGGCGCTTCAACCTGGTGAGCGAACGTTGGAAGCGACTGCCCGGCCAGGAGAACATGCCGAACGAGTTGGCGTCGAACGCGGTGATTCTACGCGGCAACGCATTGATGGTGTACGGCGGTACCGGCGTGCCCTTCGGCGAGAGTTGTAGCAATCAGCTGTACGTCTGCAACGTAAACGATGGTACGATGAAGATAGTACCGGCCACAGGCGAGCTACCTGAACCTCAGTATGGACAGGTAATAATTAATTAAAAGCGAAAAGACTACCTGAAGTCTGAATTAAGTATCTATGCATGGTTTTATAATAAAATTCTCAGCAAGGCTAGAGTAAGTTGATGCGCTAATATTTGAACATACTTCCAACTTTGTTTTCAGGACAGAATAAGAAATTGAAACACGAGTGTACAAATATTAAATTGGAATTAAATTTATTTATCATTTATTTATTACATTTGTGTATATTTATTTATTGTTATGTATTTCTGTGAATAGGCCCTGGTATATCATAGTTCCTACCTCTACACAGTCGGTGGTACCACCGGTTACGAATACACCTGCGATATTCATCGATTTGATCTGAAAAATGGTGTCTGGGAAACAGTGTATGTTTGCTCTGGAAGGGAAGAGTCAGAACCACATGGAAGATACAGGCATGAGCTTGCCTTTGATGGCAAGATGATCTATGTCCTGGGTGGTGGCACCTCAACAGAGGCCTATGGCTTTTCGGTGAGTGAACAAATATATACAGACTTCATTTGAGATACATGCTGTTCAAGTGTGCAAAACCACTCTTTTTGTATAATATTTATTTTATTAATATATTGTAATATATTATTATATTGTATATTATATATATATATAAAAAAGATATATCATCATTAATTCTTCTTGTGTAACAAAAATTATTTTCTATTACAATATATTCATAAAAAATAAATATTAATAAAAAATAAATAAAAATAAATAAATAAAAAATACTTTAGGAAATACCGGCGTTCGACCTGGAGACCAATAGGTGGAGGATGTTGAACACGCATGGCGACAGTAACGAGGCTATGGTGCCGGCACCGCGACGTTGTCACGGTTCCGTTCAGTACACGGACGAAAAAAGCGGCATTACTTCGGTCGTTATATCAGGCGGCTACAACGGTGATCGGGTATTCTCCGACGTTTGGCGACTCGATCTCAGCACGCTGCAATGGACATGCTTAAGAGAATGCATCTTACCGTGTCCGGTGTACTTCCACTCGGCCGCGCTGATTCCGGAGGGTCGCATGTACATATTCGGCGGTATAGTCAAAGTGAACAACATGGTTATTATCGCGACTTCCCAAATGTGGGACATTCTATATTTAGATGTTAAATGTATTTTCGTAAAAAGTATATAATAATTTCGTGTGTGTATTATTGCAGATACAGAGAACAAACGCGGTTCATTCCGCTTGGATTACGATTCCCAAACTGTCCGAGATCTGCTGGCAGGCGTTGAATTATTATTATCCGCCGTTGAGGGACTGTTCGCCAGACAAATTGCTTCACATTGGCATACCCTTGAAATTCGTACAAAGACTCGAATATTACGATTGGTGAACGCTCTTAATTGCTCTCTCTTCGGATCATTTTTCTCAAAGTTCTCTCTACGCACTTCACAGCGGTAATTACGCTTCGATCATTTTTATTCGATATTTATTGATACGTAATTTTCTGGTACCTTTTTTTACGATTTTATCTATCGTGTAATAATGACACGTACGTATGAAATAATTTTATAATCATTCTGTTTATTATATTTGTGGTATAATAATGCTCTAATTGCGAAATAATAGATTTTTTTTTCCCCAAAAATCTATAAATTTTATATATATATATCCGACATGCAATGTTAAATTGTCGGATACGCTATTTTCGTGATATTAACGCCAGATAATGGTATTATCTTTGTCTAAAATGTACAAATAATTATAATTAAAAATTACAATAATATATTAATATATAAAGAGTTATATAGTCAAAGGGAGGGATAGTTTATTATTAGCATATTTAATATATTACATTGTACTAAATTGTCGATTTTCGTGATATTAACGCCAGATAATGGTATTATCTTTGTCTAAAATGTACAAATAATTATAATTAAAAATTACAATAATACAATAAT